TCGCAGGCCAGTGATTGGACAAGCGGCTGCCAACGCTACAGGCCACCAGGGAACAGGGGCTACAAGAAGCGACCGGCCGCGGGCATCACTGTTTTGGCAGCAGCGGCAGCGCAAGTGGCACAAGACTCACGCTCTGCTACAATCGTTTCAGACATTTCCTTCAAGCCGCTCAAGACGCTGCGTCATCGACGAAGGGCACGCGCCAGAGACCATCCGATCCACGCCACAACCATCGCAGGCCAGTGATTGGACAAGCGGCTGCCAACGCTACAGGCCACCAGGGAACAGGGGCTACAAGAAGCGACCGGCCACGGGCATCACTGTTTTGGCAGCAGCGGCAGCGCAAGTGGCACAAGACTCACGCTCTGCTACAATCGTTTCAGACATTTCCTTCAAGCCGCTCAAGACGCTGCGTCATCGACGAAGGGCACGCGCCAGAGACCATCCGATCCACGCCACAACCATCGCAGGCCAGTGATTGGACAAGCGGCTGCCAACGCTACAGGCCACCAGGGAACAGGGGCTACAAGAAGCGACCGGCCGCGGGCATCACTGTTTTGGCAGCAAGCGGCAGCGCAAGTGGCACAAGACTCACGCTCTGCTACAATCGTTTCAGGTTGGAAAATCAAATCATTACATTTTTTTTTAATCTTAGCCAGTTGCTTTTTGCTGCTGCTGCTGCTGCTGCTGTTGTTGCTGTGGTCGTCTTATGCATTTATGTCTGAAAAGTGATTGCTTTATTTTGCCTGTTTTTACAGTGTAAGTACGTATCTTTGCTTTTGTGTCATGGCTGAAATCTGTATATGTTGCAATGAAGAACTCAGAGGTGCAGACGGTTCAATTCAATGCACAGAATGTGACTATTCGTATCACTTTGGAACTTGTTCTGGCGTATCGGAGTTAACATTCAAGTCTAAAGGTGAAGCGTGGCGAAAGGCATGGCGTTGCCCGACATGCAGAACGGCGAAGTCCAGAGGAAGTCAGAGCGAGAAACAAGAACAGGAAGGATGCAACTTGGCAGCTGTAATCCTAAGCATAAACCAGAGACTAGGTTCTTTGATGGAATTAAAAGAGACTGTCTCGGCAATCGAACTCTCGGTGAACACGATGTCGGCACAGTACGATGAAATCCTAAAGCACGTGCGTCAACTTGACGGCGAGATAAAGGATTTAAGGAAAAGGGTGACAAGCCTTGAAAGCCGCGAGAAAGAGGTAAATGTGCAACAAATGGCACAAGACATGAATGCACTCGAGTGGCAATCGAGAAAGCTAAATCTCGAAATACATGGAATTCCGGTCACTGAGCATGAAAACCTTCACACTCAACTGACCCGATTGGCCGAAAAACTGGATGTGCCCACGCTCTCCGAGAACGAGATTGTGGCTTTGCACCGTTTGCCAGCTCGACCAAATAAGATACCGGGCATCATTGTTCGTTTTTCGTAACAGTCAACGCGTGATATGTGGTTCGATAAAAGGAAACGACTCGACCGAAAGGGAAGGGATGGTTACATTCTTGAGAATATGACAAGGCAAAACCGTGCCCTCCTTTGGGCAACTAAGGAATGGGCGAAGGACCATGACTACCGCTACTCGTGGCACAAGAGTGGAAAGATCTTCTTGAGGCGAAAAGAAGGCGACGCAGTTGTTGCTATCAAGTGCGAGGCGGACCTGCAACGCCTGACCTGATAAATTTTATGACTCTTGTTTCCTGTGGCCTTTTTTGAAATGGCGGAACAAACCTATTTTGTTGCAACTGAACTAAATTCTTACCTAGGGAATGAATATGTGACTTCTTTTAAGTGCATTCATTTGAACACTCGGTCCGCCCGAAATAAAACAGTTGAGCTTGGTTTGTTTTTTGATGAGTTTTCCTTTTTGTTCGATGTTATTATGTTATCAGAGACGTGGTATACTGATGAAAGTGATGTTTTTGAGTTACCGATGTATAAAAGCTACTTTTTGAACAGGTCAACTGGTCGTGGAGGTGGCGTGTCACTAATGGTTAGGGAAAATGCCTCCGGCCAAGTACTAAAAGAGTTATCATGTGTTACTGAAGACTTTGAAGTACTATCACTGCTTGTAAATCGTAACATCATCTCGGTATTTTACAGACCACCAGGTGGATGTACTACGCAGTTTTTTTCTTTTCTAGATACCTATTTCAGTTATGCTAATGAGAACAAGTATAACATTATCGTGGGGGGTGATTTTAATATAAATATGCTTTCGGATAGCCCAACAAAAAAACAAATGGACTTGCTCATTAATATGGGTGGTTGTATTAATGTGGTCACGTCTCCTACTAGAATCACATCGGATACGGCGACATTGCTGGATTTGCTCATCACAAGTTATAGCCTGCCATATATAAGATCAGGAATAATCACTACTGACATAAGCGACCACCTAGCTGTCTTCATGTGTATAAAAAAACAGCTTGTCAAAGATAGTACAAATAAACGTGCATATTTTCAGAATATCACAAGTAATAATCTCTCTACATTTAGGCAAGAGCTTTCTTGCCTAGATTGGACTGAAGTGTATGAAAATGATGACTCAGATGAGGCGTACAATGTATTTTTAAATAAATTCCTGCAGCTATATAAAGCATGCTTCCCATATAAATCAGTTAAGCTACCAAGGAAAATTCGTAAGCCATGGGTTACTCCAGAGCTGCTAGTCAAGATAAATAAAAAAAAATATATTGCACAGCGCTTTCGTGAAAACGAGAGAGTCTGAATGCCTTAAAGTCTTTAAGGTCTACCGTAATAAACTTACAAAAGAATTAAAGAGTGCCAGAGAAAGATATTTCAACAAATCATTTCTATCATCAGCACAAAGAACGGACATCATGTGGAAAAAGCTTAATAATGTTCTTAATCATTCATCTGAAATAAAACAAATAGATAAAATCTGTGCAGATGGCACAGACCTAAGAGATCGTGAGCTGGCAAACGCCTTTAATAATTATTTTGTGAACTTGCCAAAAGATAACCCAGGAGAAAACGCTTGTGCTTACATTGAAAATCAATGTGAGTGTTCCATATTTCTTCAGCCAGTTGTGGAAGCCGAGGTGACGCTTGCATTCTTGGCATTAAGAAATAGTAAAAGTTGCGACGCTGACGACATGCAAATAGGGCCAATAAAATACGTGTTGGACATCATATCTCCCTGTTTGACGTATATTTTTAATTTGTGCTTGCAGGCCGGGGTTTTTCCGCAGAGAATGCAAATCGCAAGGGTAACGGTTTTGTACAAAAAGGGTGACAAAAACGATTTCGGGAATTATAGGCCTATTTCAATTTTATCTGTTTTTTCGAAGGGTTTTGAAAAACTTTTGTTGTCCCGTATGGTAACATTTGCGGACAAAAATAATATAATCACTTCATCGCAATACGGATTTCGTAAAGGCCGGTCTACAGAGCTGGCCCTTCTGGAACAAAAGGAATGCATTTTGCGTAGCTTTGAGGATAAACAGATGACTCTTGGTATTTTCGTTGATTTTACGAAAGCCTTTGATTATTTAAACCATGACTTGATGATAAAAAAACTTGAAAGGTACGGATTTCGCGGACCAGCGTCAGCTATCATTTCATCATATGTTGCTCATCGTAAACAATATGTTCATATCAACGGGTACTCTTCAGATATCCAACCTATCTTATCTGGCGTTCCACAAGGCAGTATTTTAGGCCCTTTTTTGTTCAATTTATACATTAATGACATCGTGAACGTAGATAAAAATGCCAAATATATCATCTATGCTGACGATACAAGTTTGTTTTTCACAGGTGTTTGCTGTGATGACTTAGCACATAAGGCGAATCAAACTCTGCAGAAGTTTAGTAGTTGGAGCCAAGCTAACGCCTTAAAGATCAACGTGAACAAGACTAAGGCTATTTTGTTTAAACCGAAAAATAAAAATGCAGCTATTACAAGAGATATCGTTTTAAATTCAAGAAAAATAGAAGTTTTGACCAGTTTTAAAACTCTTGGAGTTGTTTTCACGCAACATGTGACTTGGGATGAAAATGTAAACCATATCTTGATAAAACTGTCACGTGTGATTGGCATAATGTATCGCCACCGCTCTATTTTTCCAAAAAATGCTAAATTGTTAATCTTTAACTCGTTATTTCTTTCACATATACATTACTGTCACCTCGTCTGGGGAAATACTACAATGGCAAATTTGAACAAGATACGTATGCTACAAAAAAAGATGCTGCGAATAATATGTAATGTTTCATACGATTACCCCAGTAAACCTCTGTTCACTAAGTTAAATTTAATGCATATTTACAATATCTATAAATATCGGTTATGTCTAAGTTATAGGTCTGAAATCAAAAATAATGCTATCAATCTTAGTGAACTAGCGTCCTTATCGCTGAAATTGACAACATATCCCACTCGTAGCCTAGACAACTGGAAAGTCCCCAGTTGCAGAACAACCTATGGTGAGCAAATGCTATCCAACGTTCTTCCGATCCTACTTAATTACCTTAATACTCATCATATTGATCCTTTAACATCAACAGTAAAATATATCAGAGAATTTTTCTTTCTTGTAGAGTGAATTACATAGCAAGTGAATATTCCACTGAATGTCCTCATTTATATGTTACATTTATATTCGTTTCGAATGAATTTAGTGGATGAGTGTAGTATTGCATACTCGTGCTATATATCTTGAATCTTGATTGTCTTTAATATCTTGAACCCTTAAATTTGCACATAAACCGTTTGTTTAGCAGTGCTAATTTATCTGTTACATTGAAATGTTGTACATTGATTTACTAACCTGCGTTTTTTTTTGTGTGTGTGTGTTTTTTCTTTCGTTTTGTTTACAAAGTAATGCATATCTTTTGTGACCTGCCGCTGTTGCCAATTGGGGAGGGGGCTCAGGACTCGTCAAGCTGCACAAATGCAGCTTTTTTCCCCAATCCCCTTCCATCATGTACTTGTGCTTGATGGAAAAATAAACATTATTATTATTAAACACTGAGTCTGAAGCGACTTATCCACGCCGGGGTGAAGGCGCTTCCGGTCCGTAATCTGTGCATTACTGCGGCAGTTTGGCGGTCGAAGCTGCGCGGTACCCGAGCTGGGAAGGCACCCGCCACCACTACGGGGTCCGGGTGCTGTAGGGCGATGGCTCTTCTCACAAGGAGTTTTGCGTCTGAGAAGCGGGGAACGGTTGAAAGCGGGCACTCGGGGTCCTTGTGAGCCCGCACCGCTAGAAAATCAACGACTTCATTGCCTCTAATGCCACAGTGGCTCGGGAGCCATTGGAAGGCAATGTTGTTGCCTTCTTGCTGAAGCTCGACCGCATCCTGCGCGATTGAACGGGCCAGGGGCGTTGCCCGTTCGAGCTTAGATAGCAGCTCGAGGGCTGATCTTGAGTCGCTCAGGATGACCCAGCGTAAAGCCTGTGTGCAGCCTGTCCGAATACCCCAGAGGGCGAGCCGTATGGCTGCTAGCTCTGCCGTGGTGGAGGATGCCTGGTGATCCAGGCGCTCACTGGTACCCACAGCTGCTGCCTCGAAGAAAGCCGCTGCTGTTGCTGTGCCTCCGGAGGGGTCCACCGATCCGTCGGTGTACACTCGGGTCCACCCATCGTACTGGGTAACTAAGTGGTCTTCCGTGAGCTGCCTTGCTACGACCACTGCTACGTTCTTCTTGGACCGCAGTCCAGGGATATGTAGGCTGATCCGCAGGGGGTGGGGATCTTTGTGCAGCTCTGGGAGTGGAGCGAGTGGTCCTGGTGTGCCAGCTATGTCACCAAGAGTGCAGAGGTGCGCTCCAAGTCTTGATTCAGCGCGCTCGGCGATCCTCATTAGGAGCGTGATGGTCGAGTCGCAGTTGCTCATTCGAGTCAGATGACCCAGCGCCCGTTCTTGCATGATGTTCTCTACAGAGTTAATCCTGGATTCTGTGAGCGTATGTCGAGACGAGGCTGTGCGGGGAACTCCGAGGCAAATCCTGAGTGCCACGCGTTGCGCTTGTTCAAGGTTTTTGAGCTGGTTGGCACTCAGTGTGGCGAAAGGTAGGGCGTACAATGGGCGGGCCAGGATGAGCCCCCTATACAGTTGCAGCATCATGTGAGGTGAGGTTCCCCAAGTAGTTCCGCCGAGCATCCGGAGGATGTTTGTATGGGTTCGCATCTTTTGAAGAACTTCCCTCATTGCTGGGCCCCAGGATAGCCTTGAGTCCAACGTGACGCCAAGATACGTGGCCGTTTTCGCCAGTTTCACCGGAGTGTCCCCAATGCATAGTGTGGGCATGAACTTGCTTGGCCTCTTTGGAGCGTAGCACAGCGCAATCGTTTTTTCGGCTGATATTGCCAAGCCCAGTTGGTGGAGACGATACACTGCATTTGTCAGGGCTCGCTGGAGAGCGCATACCATACGTTGCCTTCTGTAGCTGGGGGCAGTGGACCAGAGTGCCACGTCGTCGGCATAGACGGCCATGCTGATAGGGTACTCCGGCTCTTCTCCAACCCTTGCCGCCGCTGGGAGTGACGCGATGGCCAGAGCAAAGAGTAGCGGGCTAACAACGCTCCCTTGGGGAACTCCTCGGATGATTTTCCGGGGGTTGCTCACCGCGTTGCCTGCCTTTACACACATGGTGCGTTCACTAAGAAACGCACAAATGTATTTCAGTGGTCGTCCGTTCACCCCGAAACGGCGTAGAGCTGATATGACGGCCTTGTGGGGGAGGGCATCAAAGGCTTTGCGGACGTCCAGAAAGACGGCCACCGCAGACCAACCCTGCGCTTTTGCCTCTTCCAGTGAGCTGACGCTATCTCCCATTGCATCTACTGTGCTTCGATGGTGCCGGAATCCCGAAAAACAGTCCGGTAAAGCCCGTGCCCCTTCTAGGTGGTAAACAAGACGGCGTAGCACCATACGCTCCATCACTTTCCCGAGGTATGATGTCAAGGAGATAGGCCTGTATGAGCTTGGCTGGTCTTGGGGCTTGCCGGGCTTCAGCAGTGGTATCGTTGTTGCTACCCTCCAAGCGTCTGGCAGCTCAGCTGTCCTCCAGACTTTGTTGATGAGAGCTAGCATCGCTGGGAGTGCCGACTCGTTGACGTTTCTCAGGGCCTGGTTGGTGACTCCATCTGGTCCTGGTGACGCGCGGTGTCTGGGAAGGGAATCAAGGACGTACTGCAGCTCGTGCAGAGTAAAGTCGGTGTCCGGTTGTTGCATCAGAGGTGCCGTGGGATGACGGAACTTGTCCCAATTCTCGGGGGGTGGTCCCACTGTCGGTACCAGCGGAACTTTAGTGAAAGTATCCGCGAGGAGTTCTACCATGTCCGTTGGTCGGAGGTTCATGGCCACGGCCATTCCTAGGACTGGGTTTCGGGGAATCGGGCGGCCCGCCAGTGTTCTCGTCATCCTCCAAGCCCGGCTTCCTCCGGATGGCCTGTCTAGAGTACTACACTTGAGACGCCATTGTCGGCGCGCCAGTTTCTTTCCGTGTTTCCTGAATTTGGCATCCAGTCGCCTATAGGCCAGGGTATCCTCCGGTTTTCCGGTGACCCATGACTTTCGCTGGGCTCGCCGTCTTCTCGCTCGGAGTTTAAGCCATTCGAGGTCAGGGTTAGGACGTGTTATTGGCACGCTGACGCGCGACAGTGTCTCTGAATTGAAGGGAAATCCCCCCTCTAGTGCTTCTCCAAGCAGTGTCCTGTAGTGGTCCCAGTCGACTATCTGGCAAGTCCTAAGGGGGACTTTCGGCGGTCTTCCAATGACAATTGGAAGGTGATCACTCCCCCAGCTGTCCGCCTGAGGGGTTGCACTGAGCCTCAGGGACCAAGTTGTGAAGGTGAGATCAATCACGCTTCCCGTCACTCCAGGGCGGATAAATGTCTGGCTCCCACTTGTGATGTTCCTCAGGTCAAGTGCTTCGACCGTTGCCTGTAGCTCCCGTCCCCGTGGGGAGTCTTGCTTGTCTCCCCAAGACTGCGAGTGCGCATTGAAGTCTCCGGCTACTATAAGGTCTCCCTTGGCTCGGACTCGAATGTCCGCAAGTACATGGGTGTCCCAGGGTGCGTTAGGGGCCACGTATACCGAGACGATGGTGAGTGGACGTCTTCTCCATTCCACCGTCACCGCCACAAACTCCGCACTCTCAGTGCATAAATCATTGAGGTCCACCTCACTTTGTGGCAACTCTCGACGCACTAGTAGTGCTGCCCGCGGAAACCCTCTTGCCGCATGTGGTTTGCTGGCGTACACTACATGATCCGCAATGCGTACGTCGCCGGCTGACATTCTTGGTTCTTGGAGAGCCACTGCATTGTAGGCGTTGTCCAATAGGTGTTTGCGGAGTTCAGAGAGTCGCGTTCTCAATGCGTTACAGTTCCATTGAAGAACTGAGCAGGAGAGGGGTTGAATATGCTTGGTGGTCCTCTTATTAATATCTCCCATCGTGGATGAGTTGGTGTGGGCAGGCGAATGGTAGAGGGCTTGTGATGTAGAGGGCTTGTGATGAACAGGGTTCCTTCCACTCCATTGCAACTGACTCAGTTTCAATATGATCTGACTCATATGTTCGATGCCATTTAGCTTTTGAGTTACAGTGAAGAAAATATCTGTACTGACAAGTGAGGCTTTCTTGGAAACGTTCTAGCATAGCATTGCAATGATGGGTTCTAATGTGAGGACGGCTTTGATCACTTGATGAAGTGTTGATGTCTGTGACGTTGTGGCCAGTATCTTGCGAAGAGCAGTGAACATAAGTGGGATTATGGCTTTAAACACGAGAGTCAGTCTTTGTTCCGCTTTCTTGGTTGGGTCCCGTCATGTGCACGTTGGAGGTCTTATGTGAAGTGATGTTTTTGATGTGTGGTTTGTCCCAAAACGAAGATTTCCTAGAAACTGGTACTGTAGTTGTTGCGGTACATTTATCGGTGACCAGATTTGCAGGCGTGCTCTCCACGTCTTCGAGAGGGGGAAAGTCTTGAGCAGTCAGAGGCAGAGTATTGTTGGCGGAGGCGCTAGATTCTTGTATGTTCTTTGAATCCGTTGTTTTGTTTGCCTGTCTTTTTGCATGCACAGCACTTTTGGCCTCACGAAATGTGGTGTTATGCTCTAACTTGTACCTCGCTACTTCTGCCTCCCTTGCCCTCACTGGGCACTCAGGTGCGTTGGAGGCGTGATTTCCATGACAGTTGACGCAGCAGGGGTTGGCTTCGCACTTGTCTTTGTGGCATTGTCCACACCGAGAACATAACTGGGTTTCTTCTGCGCAGGCAGCTGCGATGTGGCCGAATTTGTGACACCTGTAGCACTGCAAGGGGCGTGCTCGGTAGGGAATTACTTCCGTTCTTACAAGACCGACATTGACATGTTGAGGAGCTACTTTTGTTGCGAACGACACTCGCACAACGGGTGATGTCTTGCCAAGGCGTTTCACTTCCGTTATGGAGGCGGTTGACTGTAGTCGCGCTTTTATGTCGGTCTCTGTGCAGTCAGGGTCGATGTCTCATGGCCGCCATAGCAATTTGTGCGGTCGCTAGGTAGAAAAGCACGCACCGGCAGTGCGCATAGTTTGGTTAGCTTCAGGAGTTCAGCTTTGAGTGCAGGCCTTTTAACGTCAACCGCAACGATATTACGAGCTTTGTTGATACGAACTACACTAACCATGTCTGGTGCGACGTTGTTCAGGTAGTCAGTCAGTTTAAATTTGCTGAGCGATGCAACCTCGCTGGTGTCAGTTGGCATGTACAGCACTGTGAATCCGACTTGTAGGTTGGTCTTCTCTTTAGAATGCGATGCTGAGCTCTGGCTTGTCTTTCGTCTTTTCTTGCTATGAACGACCTCGTAGTCACCGTCGTCGGAGTGCAACTCGTCGTTAGTAGACACGATTGTCGATGAGGAGCTGCTCATTGTGTCAGCGGCGCAGCGTATGGGTGGAATCTCATAGCCGTCTTTGATGATCGTCGATGTGCTTGCCTGTGCTTCATCCATGTCAATGGACATGAGAGCGTTCGATGACTCGATGTCCGAGGTCATATTTGTTGATGTCCTGGCCTCCCCTCAGGAGGTCCTTTGCGCAGGAAGATCCTATGTCGTTCTGTTAGTTGTTAACCGCCGAATGTACTGTTTAAACACGCAATTTATCGGCTACGTAAGGAAAATTCAGAGACACGAAAAGGGTTACCAGCAGCAGTGTCGTCGTCGTCTTCTTTTCCCATGCCACATGTGTCCCCATCGCCATGATATGGTGCGTATGTAGAGTGCCTTCATACACACGCACGCTTTTGCTTGAGTGGTGACATCTCAGCCATTTTTCCGCCCAATCGTTTTTTTATGCATTTTGAAGTGCGCGCAATCCGGTGTCACTCAGCTCGAGCGCGTAGCTTTGGCTGATGCATAGACGCCATCTTACCGCCCAAGTCACGCACCGAGTGCGCGAGAGCGTCACGCGCTGGTACATTCCGGACAACAATGGATGTCTTCACCCTGAGACAGACAGACATCTAGGCACCCTATGCGTATGATAGCAGCAGCGCCACAACGGCAAAGTCTACTTAATTCTATGAACATATGGTTGTAATTTTGTAAATAGTTGTAAAAAATAAGGCTCGAGGTACACCTAAGCACTTCCTATGAGTTGCGAATGCGAAAGCATGAATGTTGTTCTTCTCGCCGCGGCCGCTTCTGATCCCCTCGGCACCAAGGCCGCATGGGATCCTCTCGGCGCCTCGGCCGTTTTTGCTCCGATGGATGGATGGATGAATCCGGCTGAGCCCTTCGGATCGGGCGACGGGCGGTAGCTTACGCCACCGGCGCGGGCGCGCAGCGCCATGGGGTGGCGCTAATTGGAACTGACGCGCGACGGCTTCATATCATTTCCTTTTTGCGTGGCTTTTTGCGTGGTTCCAAAACTTGGATGCCTCAGATCGCGGCTTCGGGAATTTATCTGCGGTTTTGCGCGGCTGATGACGTCGGCTCGCTCCATGGAACAGCTAATGCTTTCATATAAAAAAAAAAAAAAGCAGAGAAGAATCTTTAAAAACGGTGGTGGATTCAGATTTATGGCTTTAAAATAGATTTTAATAAAATACTCAACAAAATAATTTTCGTTAGCATCTTCTCTTTAGCCCTGGAGTGCTAGGCGTCGCTGCTTCCCGTAAGACTTTCTTAGGGTGAACTAGAACTCTGAGAGGTGCGCCGACCGCAAGGAGGTTAGAAGTGCTAGGAGGGGGCACGTTTCAATATTGGTGAAGCCTAGTCATAAAACTTTTAAACGATTTTGTGCCCAGCGTGACCACAGATCTGTCTGGTGATTGGTGCGCGTGACATGTCACGTGTGAGATGGATGGTTGATTGCAGAAGGACTCCTTGCAGGCTTGCGCGCGCTCCGTCCGGTAGGTTTTATCAGATCGAAGGCTTGACTGTGGTGTATCCTAGTACCCCATAGCAAGACGAATGCTAGCTACGGTCGAGTGATCTGGTCACGTTGGCATGGTAAGTGAGGAGAGTAAAAAGGAAAATGAGAAAGAGGCGAGGCGTCAAGGGAGCATGGCTTGTGGAGGCTACGCGGCCGACGTCATGCCCTCTCCTACCCTTTTATCCTCCTTGGCCGACCGCGTCTGCCTCTCCGTAGGAGCTGGCTGTCGAGTGTCCCAATTCTGCCGCAGGGGCCTGGGGTGGCGCTACCAGTCACAGAGGGGCCAGGAGGCCGGTCGAGCAACGTTTAGCAAGGCTGGCTTGGGGCGTGTTGGCGCGATTATTTATTCGTGTTTTGCGTTGTGTTTGAAGGGATACACTATTGTGTCGCTGCTAGCTGCACCGAAGAGACGAAGGACTCGCAAAGATGTCAAATACGGCGAAGAAAAAGACGGAGAGGTGGGGTTGTGTTGCCGGGATGCAACGTGGGTTATAACACATGCAAAGAGGAACATTCCCTGTTGTGAACGCCGAGCAACGCCTCTCTGTTTCTGTTCGCGAAATGAGATCGTCTAATCCTAACAAATTAAAAAAAGAAAAAAAAAACTGATGTAGGTAGAAAAGATGTTTAAGAATAATGTGTGACATGTCAGAGAAAACAAATTTCTCCATGTTGGATTTCTCTTCAGTAAAACGGCAGTTGAGGTTGCTCCATTTATCCTGCCAGTCTAGGTGTTTATTCTCATATACCGCATGGTCATTAGAAGAAATCAATCCAGATATTTCCTGGTCTATATTTGGATAAAAAAGCAAAAGACAAAAAAAAAAAGAAAGCTCGTGCTACCGAAAAAAAAAATTAACTCCGGAACGCAAACTAGGTACTTAAAAAAGATCTACAAAACCTGCAGAAACCGAAAAAAAAAAATTTGACGAACTTTGACACTAAAGTGGAGAGGAAGGCATAGGAAATCATATCCTACTCAGAATTCACTTTATTAATGCTGGCATGTAAGGTGACATAGCTAATTATCCTTCTATAACAGCAGAACAAACAAATATATAAGGAAGCGATAATATGTAAGTAGCTGGCCCCTTGGAATCAGCATTTGCGCTTTGAACATAAGCTCCTGCCGCTCACAAAAATCACGCTTTTTCACAGGGATGTGTGGTAAGATGGAACTTATTCTTCACCAAAACCGAGTAGACAAAAACAAACAAAGAATACGACTGTTTTCGCGCCGAATAAAGGTAGTGTTCAGCCGTAAATGGGAACGTGATCCCTTATACTTTTTTTGTGGTTTTCGCCTACTCTGTCTGGTTTTTAAACATAGTTCCCAAATGATCAACTGGTTTTGCCGTTGTGGCAGTGCTGCCAGCTTCCAGATGGTACCATGGTAAAAAAAAAAAAAAAAAGACTTCATTTAGCTTTCTCCTATCTAAACCCCCTTCCTGACCCCTGTATTCATTTTCCTTCCCTCCTTCGTACCAACGCGTCTTAGGTACGAGGCCGTACCACAAAGCTTGACAAATACAATAGGGATTTTGAGTAAACCGCACGATAGAGTTTCGCTTTGCTAGCGGGAGCTCGTGCCGTCACTTCGAAGCATGAATTGAGCACACGCCCGCTTGGGCCCGCTTTCTGCAACGTACGATCTCCTGAAACTCTCTACTGTTAGTCTTTATACATAGTCTCCTCTATACTCACAAAGCCTGGCAGTTCGGGGACGGAGCCGTGGAGTGCCCGGTCGCAGATTTGGAGAGCGACGATCTGGTAGCACACAGCACCAAAAAGCCATTTCTTGGGGAACCTGGACATCAGCGCACAGCTTTCACAGCGGCGAGGACCTGAGACACACTCGTTCGCTCGGGAGAAGTGTGTTTCGGCGTCTCGCCGCAGCGGGACGCCAGTCACCTGGCTCTTTTCTCATCCGGTGCCTGCCGCTCCACCTTTTCCATTTCGGCGGCCACTTCTCGTGGCGATCTGCTAGGCTTTGTCAGTATATACGAGGCTATGCTATATACTCCGTTCACCCTTAAAAGGGTACTCCACCGATTTTTTGAGCTACCTCAACTAACTATATTTTCTGACTCCCCGGCCTTTAGCCTTTCCGGTATGCTATTTAGCATCGCGAAATTCATAATAGGGATTGTGAAATCGGCAAATGAAAATGGTGCAAAAACCAATATTCAAATATTCGCGCACTTTTCAGTGCCGTGACGTCAGTGGCAGGCAGGCTTGCCAGTCGAGCAAGTAGTCTAAAGATAGAATATGCCAATCATTTGTTCCGTGCTGGAGCGCGGATACGGGAGCGAGCTTCCAAAGCACTCATTTGACACCAAGGAACTGCTTCAAATCCGTTGGGAACAACTTCTGTAGTCCAGAAAGCTAACCCCTGCCTTCCACTGACGTCACTTTGTCGTTTTTGCCAGTAGAGACTTTCAGTTTGAAAAACATGGTGAAGACCAAAACTGTAAATTCAACAACTTCGCGAAAAAACAATATTTTGACCTAATATTTGGGATACTATTTTAGCAATGTTAGTTGGTTAGTTAAGCAAAATTTCAAGCAAATCGGAGACAATGAAAAAACCGCGAGTTTGCTGCCCCTGATAAAACAAGTGTGAGCGCGCAGGCATGCGCAAACAAAGCACTGTGGAAGCCAGCGAGCTCGGGCTGAAGGCGGAGCTTTTAGTCTCAGCTTAAGGGTGAACGGAGATATAGGGAAGAGGTTGAACAGTCACGGTTCTAGCGGTACACTTCAGCTGTGGAAACAACAAACCATATTTTCTTTTTTGTTTTTGATCCGAGAAATCGAAGATGACGATTTGAAGGCCGTTCCTCGTGCGACTAAAGCACTGGTCGGAGCGAAGCGCTCGAGCCGAAACCGTGCTAGGCGAGGTTAAATTTCTGGTTATGCTGTGTTGGCAACCACCCGGCTGTGGGGACAACAAGCTCGATAAAGCGCCCCCATAGTTTGATTTCCTGCCCAATAAGAGAAACACATCAGCCATGGAGCCTGGGACCACTCTCTGTCGCTAGAACAAGCAAGCAAAACCCAAGCGTCCTCTTCTGGCCCACCCACCCTGGGTTCTGCAGCGAGAGCTTTCGCTTCGTGTGCTCTCCATTTCTTCCCTCTCTTTTCCAAAAAGTCAAATCAAAGTCAAATTAGTCGTTAGTTGTTTATACAGCAGGAGGTTAGTCTGCCAGAACATGGCGACACAGTTACCTACTGTAGATAAGCAATTTAGCCAGTACAGTACGACTGCTAGCCTGGAGTTTTAACGTGCATCACGCAGTAGTGATACACGACCGCACGCCGGTACGATGCTCATCCAGATCGAAACGGACAGGGGCGGCGATTGAACCCAGGATCCCTGGGTTCTGCTGTGCGAGCTTTCACTCCACGTGCTCCGAGCTGGTATGCGGTAGCCCACTCGGCCACCGATCCCCCCTGTACGAAGAAGTAAAAGAGAACAATCGACCGACGCCCGCATCGATGAACAAACTCGTCAGCAATCTCTCCTGAACCAACGGACATGGGGAATGAACTCGGCGCAAACACCCAACACAGGGACACCATCACCGAGATGACCAGCCAGGAGAAGCACGTCGTGCGAGACACCTGGGCCATCTTCAAGAAGGAAGCGCAGACGAGCGGCGTCGCCATCTTCGTGGTCCTCTTCTTCAAGCATCCGGCCTACCAGAAACTCTTTGTGGCCTTCGCGGCTGACCCGATCGCAGAGCTGCCCCAGAACCCGCGCGCGACTGCCCATGCGCTCACCGTCGCGTACGCCATCAGCTCCATCATCGACACGTAAGTACTCTTGAACAAAATTATTCATTTTCTTTTGTTATGGAAGGACCTACGACAAGCCCTTTCTGCATGTCTTCATGTCAAGCTCACGACCTATAGGGGGTATTCATTGCACACCATATTCAATGGGGATGTTTAGAGCACATGCTCAGAAAAAGCTCACATGGAAAGGCTGCTAAGACCGTCAATCATGATGGTGTAGAATGCACGTTGCAAAAGAACAGCGGAACTTCGCCATCAGCACGCGCTCAGCAGTCGCGCACACAACTATGGCCGCCAGTGAATACTCCTTGCAGTGTTCGAAAATTAACCCGGTCACACTCTAGAGTAAAGGTTCTGTACTTTGGCGTTCGACAACCTACCCGCGTCCAGCGTTGCTCTATTTGTCTCGTTGCGTGACGTGATCCGCCGGAGTAACTCGGATCCATTCGAGTAAGGCTTGGAACACATTTCGGTGTTGCGAAATATATTATTCAAATATATTTCGCAGCGGACGCTGGAGAGGAGGCGTCCGCCTCTCCAGCGTTCGCTCTGCTGAAGTGGAAGGGGTTGGAAGGAACGTCTCCTGGAACTTTTTACCTATCACCGACCACAAATTAGGGAGCTTTAGAATAACGTACGCAATTTTAGCGCACGCTAGTGCTAAATTTAGCGCTTGTATTAGCGCACGCGACGCGAGAGAGTTTTAGAATAGCGTTTCTCCGTCGCGGCGCAAAAGCCCAACCATCTCGCGCTTGCGACGCCACCAAGATACAGTCACAATTTTTATTTCACACACGAAATGCTGAAACCTTAGAAAAAAAAAAAAGTTTTTTTGGTTCAGAGTACAAATTTAGACTTGTTTAAACATGAGAATGCGACGCGAGCGGTTGACCGGTCGCGTCTGCTTGCGTCGCCTCGGCAAGAGAGGTGTCGTGTACTGACCTTCGCACATCGTACCTTCGCCGCGAAATGTTCGCGCGTCGCAAGCATCAAGTTGCCGGCGATCGTTGCCAAACCGAGTACAATGTCGTCCCGTATTGAAAATCGCAGTCGTGAGGATGCCGCCGACGTCACACTCACGACGCCGCCAAAGCAGCCGCCGACATAACTCCGGAAGCCGCCATTTTTTTAACTCTGCTCGTCTTGGCTTTAGCCAACTTCTCATCACTAATCCTCCTTGGAGAAGCGCAAAGACTCTTTGCGTACGCACGCTATTTCCGAGAAATAGCGCACGCTAAAATTGCGCACGCAAAGCGCAAAACCTGGTTTGCGTTCGGAGCATGCGCAGTGGCGACGACGCTATTCTTTGCGTACGCAAAGCTATAGCGTGCGCTATTCTAAAACTCCCTATTAGCTCAGTTACGGAGCTGGCCATAGACGCTGCTTGCAGGAGCAGTACTCCCTTTACCCCCACGGATCGCCCCCCATTGTTTCGATGCGCCGGAAGGTTGCTATGGTAACTGTAGTGTATTCTATGAAATATGTGTGTTTAGAAGCGCAGCGTCTAGATGGCGTACTCTATGAAACACACATTTTTAAGACGAAAATGTAGATAGCGCTCCGAACGACAGGAGGGGGACTCAAAGGAGTCCTGCATTCCTAATCCTGCGTCTATTCTTTTTTTTTTTTTTTTTTTTTTTGCGGCTTTTATGTTTTTTGTGGTTCGGGCAACCCAACGGGCACGACGAGAGCAACTAGATATCAGTGCATCATCTTTTAACCAGACGACGCGGAAAACTCCTCCTCCTACGGGGGCGCCCCGTGGTGTCGAACGCGCGCGGCATGTGACGAAATCGTGACGTTGTTGGTCCATGTCAGCCGAGGAGAGAGAGCTGTCCCGTTCCCCGGGCTGCTCTCCCTCTCCTCGGCATCACCTGCTTTCCCCGTCTTCCCCTCCCTCCCTACATCCGGGAATCATCCGGCGCGGGAAAAGGAGGGACAGAGGACCAAGGACGCCATGAAGCAGGTTATTTTTTGCTTGTGTTTGCAATTTTAATATGCCTATATCTTTTAATATAGAGCGAAATTCGAGAAAAGAAGAAGTTCACTAAGTTACTACATTCAGTGCGCTCAGGTACGGTGCAAAATTAAAAACCGTAAAAACGTCGTTGCAGGGCCCTTAAAGGGGCCCTCCGGAGCGTTCTGCGATGATCTATTTATGGCAGTAACTCAATCTATGGGTCCTAAGGATCCTAAAAATCATAAAATTACGGTCGTGCGCGGCGGATTTCCCTATTGAAATTGCTATCAAAGTCCCCGGCACGCCCCCCTTTCTGAGATGACCCCGGAAAACGGGAGGGGCATCTCTTTACGCGTCAGCCAATAGCAAGCGAAGGATTCCGGCGTCACTGCGCGTCACCAACGCCGCCGACCGCCGACCCGCGGAGGAATCTCTCGAACACGCGCGGACCGTCGTCAAGGGACCCGGACTTTGTGCTCGGCAGTCGTCGTTCGTCGCACCGCACCGTCGCGCTGCTACTGCAATACGCAGTCGCATCCCACAGATGGCAAGGAAAAGTTTGACCCGTTGACATGGAAGAATCGCAAAGCTGGCTTCGGAGCCGGGATCCTCGGGAAGAAGGAACATGTGTCCGGCAAACGCACGCCTGCAGACGCCCCGGGAAGCAGACGAGCCGACGCGCCGACGCATCACCCCCTAGCAACAAGAGAAAACATAGTTCGCTGGTTTTGGAACGAGAATTGCGGTCTATGGTTTCCCGCACCACAATCAGTTTACGTTTTTCTCAAACTCTAATTTATAACGAGCTTATAAAGGGTTGCAATAATAACGTACGTATTCACCGCGAGATGCAGCATTTCCATTGGTCAAGTTTTAGCGATGGGCAGGGAATGGGGGATCGTCTTCCAAGAGAAAATAGTCCCGATATATTTCTTCTGCCATCTGCTTAATAAACGGTTTTGTAATCTAAAACTTCGTATACATATTAGCTTGCACCTACTACGCAATATAACAACATAAACAGACGATCGCAGAAAGCTCCGGAGGGCCCCTTTAAGTGAGAGTGTCAATGTGTGTGTGCGTGCGTGTGTATGTGTGTGTGTGAGGGGGGTACCCCCCACACGGGAGTTCTACAACTGAGGTAATCTAGTAACGTTAGTACCTCAAAATCACCACTGGTGTGAGGACACTGCAAGCCATGTCTCGCACGTGAAGTCATCGAACCCTACCCATGGGCATTTCTACTTTTTTTTTTCCTGAGAAAGACAAATTCGATGGTACGGAATATATTCTGCAGAAGAGTACGCACGGAGCAGCAAGCACTTCACAATGGCCGCTGATGTAACGTCAGTGCAAGCCATGTATATTCTTCTGCCACATAAGATCTCAGGAGAAGCTTTACCCTTCATTTTTCCGGGGAAAAAATCACAATCCAAACAAATAGAAACTTAATATTTTTGTTCTGGCGTCATAGGATGAAGCACCGTGACTCCTCAATCGCGTGCACAGTCTTAAAAAACGAACAATAGGGGATATATTCAGCTGCCAGTTCATTGATGTTCAGCACCCGCCACTGAGATTCTGCTGAAGAGAGCCACTAGCACAGCCGTTCTCTTCAGCGTAGGTATAGCTTTGCTTATTGCACTAGATCAATCTACATCAAATTACACAAGAACAATCCAGAAACACAAATATTTGTACCAAATCACGAAATACTCCCTGGAAGCTTGAGAGGCGCAGGGTGTGGTTTTCTCTGGTTAGGCTTCCTGCTTTGTGATTGGTCCTTCGGCGTTCTTATTGATGCAAGCCGATATATCATTGGCTGCGGAGGGATAACATGCTGTCCGAAACTCACCACGCGTGGACTCCCTTAAGCCGTCAGTGATTATAGTAAGATTTTCGCGCAAAAACTGCCGATCCCTCTTTAAGAACCAGTACTGTCGAGACCGGTTATAACGAAGTCAGTTATAACGAAATAGCGGCTACAGCAAAGCGATCACGATTCCCCATTCTCTTTTTGCACTTGGTTATAACCGAAGTCGGTTATAACGAAATAGCGGATACAGCGAAGTGATTTCCGATTCCCCTTGACATCGTTATAACTTATAATCGGCCTCGAATGACACAGTTGTCATCTTTCTTCAGAGAAAGAGAATGGGTCGGAACGGCGTTACGGTCGTCGTCTCTCTCCGTGCAGCCTCGACGAGCCGGAGACGTCTGCAGAGTTGGTTCGGAAGGTGGCCACCAACCACGTGCGCCATCCCACCATATCGGGAGCCCAGTTCGAACACATGGGCCAGGCCGTGGTGGAGGTCCTGGCGGAGAAGCTGGGAAGCGCCATGAACCACCAGGCCGTCGGGTCCTGGCAGAAGTTCTTCGCCTTCGTCGTCAGGGTCTCCCAGAGCGTCTTCAAGGTCAAACTTTCGCGTAACTACGACTAGAGAACAAACGCGCTCGCACGATAGCGCCATCTATGGGGTGACTCCGGAACTGCGTATCGCTAGTGCGAAACTTGTTTGGCGGTATTTGCGAAATCAAACGTACGTGCTACCTACGAGAAATGGTCGATATATAACATTGTCAAAATGTTTTTTTTTCTTTGTTTTTTCTTTTAAATTTAGGAAAGAAAAAAAAAGAATGATGCGTGAAAAAGAAAAGAATATACCTTATACGAAACTTGCAAGTGTTCCGCTGCTGCCGGATGGATGGCGCCAGTGTGTTTCCTTATCCTAAGAGGTTTTAAGGTACACGGTCGCAAGCAGCCACAAGTGTGTGAACCAGCCTTTACACTTAGCCTCGCTTACACAGATGGCTTGCACTGACGACATATCAGCGGCCATTGTGGTAGCCTCGCTACTCAGAGCGTACCTTCTGAAGCATACGCTTGGTACCATACAATTCGTCTTTCTCGGAAAGAGCGGGAAATGATAACCAGCAGAATGTGATGACGTCACGACGTCACGTGCAAGGCATGTACGAGGGGTGATCAGTAAGTTTTGCTTTCTAGGCTGTAATTATTATTTTTTTTTTATTCTGTGATAGAATTCAAAGATGTCATACCCGTGCCACACGGGCAACTCGAATGCCATTTACAACGAATGACATTTGAGCGGACGGCCAATCAGCGCGCGACACTGCGGGCGTCGCGCATTCCACGCGGGACAGATTGAGAGCTTATTCGCCGATCACACAAATGTCATTCGTTGTAAATGGCATTCGAGTTGCCCGTGTGGCACGGGTATTAGGTTTAAAATGAAAGCTTGGAACCTCCTCTTTCCCGGGAGCACATAACTTTTTTTTTAATATAGTTCCCATTGGCGGCGACGTACTTCCGCTACCGGTGCACCGCTTTTTGTGTGCCGTCGTAGATAATTGACGGCACGATGAAACTTACGTAGCCTTGAAGGGGCCCTTAAAGGGGCCTTATATCTCTTTATGCGACAGTCTATTTTTGTGGTCACAACTCAATTTATGGGCTCATCTGTGGCCGATTTCACTCTTAAAGTCGTTGTCAAAAGATCAACACGAGATGGCGTCATCGGACAAGGAGGAAGGACAGAGCCTCGCGCGACGGCGCCCTCTATTGTATGTGATAGTTCCGATCTAATCAAGCTTTTAATACCGATTTCAATGGAGAAATCGGTCAAGCAAAAATGTAACGTTTTTTTTGTATCTTAAAATATTTTTCGTCGAGACATTAAAGACGTTAAGAGAAATTTGAGTAACAACGGAGACTTTAATACACAAACGTTTCGGAAGGAGTGTTTTTTTGTTGTTTTTTTTTTTCTCAGTGTGTACAACCGTAAGCCTCGCGCCTGTTGAACGAGAGGCAATAGTAGCCCACCCCCGCGCGCTTCCCGCCTCAAGTCGTCCTAAAATTGACTGATTTCGGAGATTTCGATGACGCTCAGCAAGTTTCTAAAAGAAACCATATGCTTATTTTCACCAATTAAAAAGCTAATTAGTAAAATTTTAATATTAATTTTGCGAATTAGGTTTTTATTTTATCCTCGACCTTTGGCGTGGCTGGCTGTTTGTTCCCCAAAAAGAGTTTTTTTTTTTTTTTTTTCTCCCTCAATTACTCTAGTGTTTAAAACTATTGAAAGTCTTCACATAAACACCCGGTATATGCTCGACGCACTTTTCTAGCTCGAGTGACCTATCTTTGATAGAGTTCAATGCATTCTCGCTTCGAACACAGGAGGCCCGGAACCTCGGGAAAAAATGACGGCGGTTATGCAAGACGTCCAGCCCGCATACTTCGCCTGCCGAGGATGCCGGGCCTTCGGTCTCGGGTCCTGTATACAGAAGAGGCCGTTCCGGAAAGCAAGCAGCGAAGACACCTGAAGAAAGCTGGCTTTTCTTTTTTCTTTTCTCAAGCTTCATCGTGTTTTTTTTTGCAGTTATAGTAGCCACCATATAGCTACATCATAATTCAAGATGTTCGTTGAAAACAGATGTGTGCCTCCAGGCGAAGATAGACTTCCGCCAAATAATTATTTTTCTGACATCTCTAGGAGATGACGCCTATTTTACTCTACAATGCGGTGAAGGGTGACGGGTAAAATGGTACACTTTTCTTTTATCCCGGAGTGAGGGCACAAGGATATGATTGCAAATGCAATTAAATGCAAAGGTGCAAGCGAGCAGGACAAAGATGACCAAAAATAATCACTGGAGGAGGGGAACAAAGGACTAACACAGTTTTTATTTTAGTGCATTCCTGATCTGCTGGTCTTGAATCGAGGGACCGCTCTCGCCCGTGTGATTGTCACACCCCCCGTTCTATCCCACCATATTCCTGGCTTTTCCTTTTCTCGGCAGCCAAAAAAAAAAAGGAAAACACCTAATTCTGACAAAAAGAATTTACTTTCGAAGTTTTATATTGTATCTATTATAAAACCGATGGCATTCATATTTAATCTTAGTTTTTGCCTCCCAATTATATTTGGAATACATTTTAGCGCTCAAAAAACAGGGACAAAGAGGCGCACTGTGCTGTCTGTTTCTCGCCTCTTTGTCCCTGTTTTTTGAGCGCTAAAATGTATTCCAAATTCCAAAACCAACTAGCCCAACAATCGACTCTCCCAATTATATTTTAGAATCAAAATACCGCATTTATAAAACATACTAATATACAAGATGTTTCTTGGGGCGTCCAGGATATATACACACGAAAAATGCAAACCTGCGTTAGGGTTATTTGAGCCCTGGGACAAAGTTCGTGTCATTACAAAATAGTCGAAATGAGCTGACTCATTAACTAGACAATTTCAACTAACTTTTCTCGATTTTCATTTTGGGGGGAGGGGGCATAATGTAGCAGAAGAATTGACACTCTACCTCAGTATTGCCTAGCCGCGACGTAAAGATTTCATTAAAAAAAACGCAGTTTCGTACACGTTACTCGAAAAAAGTAATTTATAACAATTGCAATTACTCTCGCTTAAAAAAGTAGTCAATTAGGCTTCTTGATTACTCAAGAAGAAAATTAATTCGCCGTTACTTGAAATATTAACCCTAACTCTTTCGATTACTTCGGATTTTTGGAAAGACCTTTTTTTCCTGACGGTTTAGAAAAGGAGTCTTTCGTACTGTATTTTTAGACTTGGGCTAGGTGGCGCAAGCTACCGCCCGTTACAAAGGGTATGGCCATTAACGTCCATCCATCCATTCGTTATTGGATTTGTTGAATAACCGAATAATAAACTATTTATCTTCTTAATACACCAATTTTGGTAAACCATCCTCCTGCCGGAGGCTTGGTTCGAGGATTCCTTGGTAGGAAAATTGTACGAACAAAGTGCGCCATTAAAAAAGGGACCGAAAAAAGAGTAACGGTCACAGGTGATTTTAGTACTTAAAAGGTAATCACATTACTCTGACGATTACTTCCTAATAAATGTATTCAAATTATTACAAAGTTACTTTAAAAAGTAAATGATTACAAGTAATTTGATTACTTGTAATATGCGCCGTACAAGTCTGGTATGAAGCCACGTACAAGGTTGACATTCCTTGAGCAGTAGCGCCCACTGCATTTTTTTTAAATCGAGATTTTATGTCACAGCTAGATTATAATGAGGTCGAGCATCCATTCGACATGCAGATTATGCCCCAAAAACAAAAATTAAAAACTTGGGGGACGCTTAAGCTTCACTTTTAAGAGAGGAACGCGATAGCGTTGTCAGGTCCCGTTCGCAAAGCCTTGTCATGTAAACGCACGCTGGTTGCCAAGCCGCGCAAGCGTGTGTGCGTGGTCCCATAATGCAACGCGCGCAGCCACGTGTGACGTCTCACGTGACGTCACACGTGGAGGCGCGCGTTGCATTATGGGATTTACCCGCTAAATTTGGCGGAAAATTTTTACCACGAAATGTAGCGGGTAAATCTCATAATGCGACGCGCACGCAGTCACGTGTGACGTGGCTGCGCGCGTTGCATTATGGTATGTTTTGGTCACGCCGACGCCGGGTTTTCTGCGGAACGAGCTCCTAAACCCTATCGCCTTAATAAGGTAATCAAAATCTTTTAGTTATTTCAAAAACTAACCAATCACGCCTCCTCTCTAATGACCCCCATGACTTCTAAATTAACCCTCACAACTCCCAGCCTATATAAAAAAGAGCATATTCAAACGGCTTAAAGACTCACACAAAAGAGTTAATAGTTCTAAAAATCGGCATTAAATAAAAAAATACTACACTTCGTCATCCGTCCCTCGTCGACGTCGCAGGACAAAGAAAACAAAAAAGCGTCGACTCAGGGGCTGTAAGAGGTTCGATATCCATCTGGTCATACCTTAAACCGGAACAACGCTAATCTCAAGTCCGGAAAAATACTCCGCACGGAAGAAATAACAGCCCAACCGCTGGGCCATTTCCGTTAGCTGCATCCGCCCCGAATCGCGAGCAACGAAATGCGGTCAAATGTCGCCACGCTGACACCTATCAGCTTATCAGTCACGGCGAACCATCGACCGGCGTATAAAATACAAAAAAGACAAAACGCTGATGAGACCTCATCGGATCATAATTAGGACATTAGCATTCTAATCTCTGAGCTGGTTAGACTTACAGTTAAAAGGACGGTCTTGTGTGTCGCCCGTAATTTTAATTTAATTTTTATCTCGCGACTGAATAGACCCACCACCGCGATCGAACAACCAATACTTTCAAAACAGACATTTTAAAAAATATTTTTCTTCCTATCTACTGGAACCACGGCCTCCGAGCTCCTTGGAGCGCAAAGTGCACGAACTCATATGTTCGATGTCACTTCACCCTGGTGGCTCTTTCCCGGAGTTTTACAATGATCCCTAGTTTCACGCCCAAATTGTGGGCATTTGCATAGCCTCCTCTATAGACCTTTTCCACAAGGGCGCCGCCATCTTGAATTGACGTCACTTCCAGTATGGGCGAAAACGTAACTTTGCCGTTGC